CTACGACCATATCCCGTTAAAAATATCGGTCCTCTTACGAGCACCAAAGTTAAACAACGTAGAACATGATCAGTACCTAGATGGGTGACCCCATGAGAATACGAAGTGCTGTCAGCAGGGATTTGACCCTGGTGTAATAGACAAGGGTTCGGAATTGGAAATCGGAGAGATACGATTCCGGTTAATTTTTTTATATTTAATTATGCGCAAATAACAAAGCGAACAGTATTAATCTTTTCCCTACAGCCTCTGGGTTAATTAGTAGGATTTCGTTTTATAGTGATGTTCACCCTGTACAATGCTCAAGATCCACTCAAAGTAGAGTGTTCCAGAGGGAGATGCACTCAAGCAAGGTGATAATGCCACCAAAACGCAATGGGCCAAGGGAAGTGAAAGAAGGAAATGATAGGTAACCAGAAACCCTATCCTAATGAGGAAACAAGGGAAATAAACTTGTTCTCCTGCTTGAAAGACTGCGGAGAAATGTGAACCGGAAGTTAAGCCATCCTATCTAATAATTATCTCCAAAATTTTATTACGATTTCAAACTATTTTCTGGTCTTAAGTAACTAGCAAAAAGTTTGACAGCACGCAAAAAACAAATGGACAAATCTTCATCCGGTTCCCAACAAGCACTGTTATTTGGAAATAGCCCCAAATCACAGATTTAGAGAATAAGTCGGTTAATTACAGGGGAAGCCATGGTATGTCATGGATTTCTTAGCCAGAAACTCTTGTAATCCTAACGTATAGTGCACAAGAGCATTTTTATGTTCGAGAAACCACTTGACAGGTTAAAGTTGGGACTTTTCCTTCGTGCATATTCCTGTAATCCGTATTTTTTTCAAACTGTAAATTTATTAGGTTGGTGCAAAAATAATGACGTAAGAATGTCGTTTTTGACGTTAAAAATACGTTTAAAAACGACATTCTTACGTCATTATTTTTGCACCAACCTAATACATTTATTCTTTTCATTTTTTCACTGCCTACATTTTCCGTCATTGTAAACAGCTTATTGTCCTTCTTTGAATCGCCTGTATACCTGAAAGACATTTCGATTTCTTTTGCATAACATCTTTGCCATAGGCCATTTTTTTAAAAGAGCTAATGTTTCACTGGCACATTTACCAATCTTCGCAATAAAACTTGATGTCATTCCGCTGCCCCGCTATCTTTCACTAATTTTCGCCAACTTATGACAAGAACACCTCCTCTACTGTTTTCCAACGAATGTAACACGTGATCCGCGTCTCAACAAAGTAGACATTGAAATCTGTCTGGGTCCTGCATTTATTCCAGAAATTTAACTGTGAAAATCTATTACCATTATAATATATATATATATATATATATATATATATATATATATATATATATATATAGTTTGTTTAATTTAAAAAAAACAAAAACAGACCACTTTAAGGCTCCATTTGTTATAATTTATTTCACCAGTTCTTGCACGAAATCAATTTGAAAACAAGATTAAAAAGCAACCCTGTTTTGAGAATGAAAGCGGGACAACTCATATCGAGTTATTCTTATTATAAAACCCAGGTTGTTTATTTGTTTGTTTGTTTGTTTGTGTGTGTGTGTGTGTGTGTGTGTGTGTGTGTGTGTTCGTTTATATATGGGATCGGATTTCCTACATTTTTCAACTGATTTTAACAAAACTTCACTTTTTTTTGGCAGGTAGTGTTTCTTATTGTCTTGCACACTTTTTTCTTTATTTTTACATTCAGAATGCGTTAAAATTTCCGTTTACAAGACAATTGTTTCGAATAAAATTCTATTCAATCGGTAGACTCATAACGATTGAAAACAATATTTTTGTTTGAGTTTGGGTTTGATCAATTCGTAAAAAAAAAACTAATTAAGACATGTGTGTCCGTCAACCTTAAACAATAATCTTTGTCAATTTTATTTTTCTGTCTTTATGATGGTCGATACTTGATCTATCTCTTACTGTTATATCCCCGGGCAACGCCGGGCTCTACTGCTAGTAGATTGATAAAAGGAACGATAGATAAAGGTATATATGCGTCCGGGCATTGAATACTGTTCCCATATTTGGTCTGGTGTTCCTACTCTACATCTCGAGATCCTTGACAAAATGCAAAGAAGGTCTTCTAATGTAATCGATACTGACTAGTCGTCTAGACTTCAGTCATTTCTCGACGACATCACGTGGCTTTCCAATGTCTTTTCTAGAAACATTTTCATGTCAACTGACGAGCTTTTTCTTATCTAGTGTCCTTATTGCATGAATTTAAATGTGCTACTAGATTAGAAACCATGTCTTACCGTTTTACTCTTGAACTAGCTAGATGCAACCACCATTTCAATTCCTTTTTTTAATACCATACTTTCAGTAGATTTTTAATACCATACTTTCAGTAGATTTTTAATACCATACTTTCAGTAGATTTTTAATACCATACTTTCAGTAGATTTTTAATACCATACTTTCAGTAGATTTTTAATACCATACTTTCAGTAGATTTTTAATACCATACTTTCAGTAGATTTTTAATACCATACTTTCAGTAGATTAGTTGTGGTCATTGAGGATCATAGTGCAAGTAGTCATTGTAATCTGTCATGAAATTTAATTGTCAAATCTATAACCCTTATAATATATATATATATATATATATATATATATATATATATATATATATATATATATATATATAAATTTAAAAAAAAAACAGACCATTTTAAGGCTCCATTATTATAATTTATTTCACCAGAGAATTTACTGTTGTTTCATACTTTTCACACCACATACATATTTTAAAAACACCTACACATACATTCATATACATGTACAATTACATATATCCACATACACATGTTTTGATATGTATACGGGATATACATTTACATATCCACATGCATCCATCTTTATACATATTTAAATTTTGTCCTAAATTTTACACACACACACACACACACACACACACACATATATATATATATATATATATATATATATATATATATATATATATCATTGTTATATTTTCTGTATATATATTATGAAATGGACAAAGTCCGACAATAATAAGGTTTGTCTTTCTTTTCTCTCTTTGTTATAGTTGAGTGGGACGTACAGTTCGAAATGCTTGGTGATACTGAATAAATTGCGGGTCGGGAAATTGGGCATATAAAAATTAGGGACCATGAGAGCAAAAATAACATTCAATTTATTTTTTAAAAACCCTTTTCTTTACTGAAACGATAAAGTGTCTCTGATATGTTTTTTTTTTTCGTTTTTCCAAGCCATCAAAATGGAATAGTCCATTATTTCGGAGGTACTGTCAAGATATAAAGGTCTTGAGAAGTAACGATTATAACATAATAATAAGCATTGGGAAATATTTAACGATGTCTATTAGAGTGAAAACCTATATAAGAACTCAGTCATGAGGAAAATGTACCTAAGATGGTTCAATGAAGGATACACATACTGAGCTACTTCACAAGAAAACACATCTTCACATTGCCTGCGTATTACTCTGCCTTCATGCAAGTTGTGCTCAATTGTTTGACCAACCTCAAGAGGAATACCGTCCACGTAATGAACTCACCTGGAATTTGAACTCGGATCTCCAATTTCTCAAAAAGAGTTGCTATCCATTACACCACCGTGTATCCATATATATTATATTTGTGTAGTAAATATTTATACAGGCAATTTTGATGAAAAGAAACTAAAATTTTTCTTTTCTTTTCTTTTTTTTCTTCTTGCATATTAATACTTTCTAGGGTTGTCAGACTATCCTTGAAATGGAAAGTGCCGGCAAATATGTTTGTATTGTTTACATGTTGATAGCTGTATATTTGTCATTCTTGATGTGCTGGTCGATATGTGCACGGATTGCACTTAGATATGACAGATGACAAGTGAATCAATAAAAAAGTGTAGTGCATGTGTATCTAAAGTAAGAATTCAATGCTTTTTCTATTATTAATGTTGGAGAGGGTATGAAAATTCATAGACAGTTGTAAAAAAGACAATAAAAATGTCAGAAACAGGTCTTGTCAGTTCTTTTTAATCAAACCCTATATATATATATATATATATATATATATATATATATATATATATCTATATATATATATATATATATGAACATTATATATGTATACATATATGAACATTATATATATATATATATATATATATATATGTGTATATATATATATATATATATATATATATATATATATATATATGAACATTATATATATATATGTATATATATATGTGTGTGTATATATATATGGACATTATATATATATAAATATATGAACATTATATATATATATATATATGTGTGTGTGTGTGTGTGTGTGTGTGTGTGTGTGTGTGTGTGTGTGTGTGAACAGGACTTGGATTAAAAGTCTGAGTATATTTTAAAACTTATAACAGCTAGTATGTGTTTCTAGGTTGAGAAAGATTCGTCTTTCTTTTCTCTCTCTGTATATAAGAGTTTAGAGAGGGAGAGAGAGATCGAGAGAAAGACAGATATAAAGAGAGAAGGTGTTAGAGAAGCACGAACCGTTCTCAGTTGATTTTCCAATGCCTTTTGTTTTTATTCCTGTTTATTTGTTAATATACAAATTACAACAAAATTCATTTTAAGAAATTTAAGAACCCGGATGTAGATTTCCTGCGAAACACGCAGCAATCAGTAATCTTCACGTTAGTAAAATACTTTCATGTTTAATTAATAATGTTCACATGAATTTTCTATGATTGTTGACTTTATGGAATTGGTAGGTTCTATTATATACCCAATTTTAGTCAAGGTTATTTTACGGACGCAGTTTTCTAACCCATTAACAACGCCAAACACTACTTCAAAATGTTAATCTGTGTGAGGATACAATTGTTCTTCTCTAAATATGACGTTATTATTATTATTATTATTATTATTGAGGGAGAGAGGTCAGCATACATCTAAACAGTGACGCTGTGATTCAGATGTTCGTATCCCAATATTCTTATTTCAAGCAAATCTTCGCAAGATGACTACAATCAATGTAAAAGTACAGCACAGAACATTGTAAGGGGGGACAAATTAGAAATAATATCAGGTCAATTTA